AAAGAGGTATTTCCAAAATTGCGTGAGTAAGGAAAAAAGGATCTTTGAATCTGATGCGAAAAGATTTAGAGAACTTTTGGAATGTACTCAAGCAATGGAATGTGTAGCAAATGTTAATGTAATTGAATGTCCCTCCGTACTTATGCTTCCGAGTTCCCAAAAAGACTTAAGTGTTGGTGTCAGTGATAGTGAGGGTGAGGATAAATGTCCAAGTCCCCATAGGGAATTGACTGCTGATAGTGATAGCGAGCAGGAACAGTTCTATTTACACGAGAGTGAGGGCGAAGANCGTTGCTTGAGAGCAATGGAATGTGTAGCAAATGTTAATGTAATTGAATGTCCCTCCGTACTTATGCTTCCGAGTTCCCAAAAAGACTTAAGTGTTGGTGTCAGTGATAGTGAGGGTGAGGATAAATGTCCAAGTCCCCATAGGGAATTGACTGCTGATAGTGATAGCGAGCAGGAACAGTTCTATTTACACGAGAGTGAGGGCGAAGAAGCTGCAGAACTTAGTAAAGCTGACGCGGTTCGCGCTTTGCAGGCTAAATTTGGCGCTGGCTTTCCAATGAGGGCGTTGGTTAAAGGGATGGTGGGCGAAGGGGGAGGGGGCATGGCGCCATTTTAGAGAGGGCATGAACCGCCATTTACAAAAATACAACCGCCGACCAGCTAGGCCCCATATAGGTCCCTAGGGACCCCTTAGAAAAATGGGCACACATTTTAATTTTCACTTGCGTTTTCGCCTATTTTAAGCAAATGAAGGCACTGACGTGTATCAAAACGCAGGAAACACTTGGAATTGTACCAAAAATTTATAATTTAACTGTTAAAATTTACAAAAAACAATATGTAACAAAACCACAACCCGATACGAATTTGCAGCTAATATTAGCCCTGCTCGCGTACGCACTATCCAGTAAATCCAGTACTAATTTTACTGTTTTTTTACTGGATGTCGTTTTCGTACGCAAAAACTTGCAAGAAACTAGCAAAAGAGGGGAAATTGAGAAAGCAAAAATGACAGCTGAACTTGCAAGTTTTATTATATTTTTACTGGGTAAATTTTTACTAGCAACTATTTGCTAGGAAGAAAAACAGCTGATGGCATGATGCTTATTGTAAATCACATTAAGAAAATAATTGTTTGTGGTGCTCTTAGAGCTGCAATTGAAAAAATAAACCTATTTTAATATATAATAAGATGGAAAACACTCGTTTTCTAAGAAAACTGCATCGGAAAATAACAAATTAATCAGCTGTTCATAAAACTAGCAACTTCTTTCTGGATTTGCGTTTTCGTACTTTCTTGCACATTTCACTCATTGGGAGTAAATATTGGCTTACTCTCCGAAATTTGGTTACGGGATATTTTTTGCTGGAGAATACGAAAACACAACTATTTTCCACCCACTGTTGGAATGCTCATAAACAACACATTAAAGGCCCTGCACACGCATTGATTTTTCGGCCAAACAGTTGACCAACCTACTTAAAGAAATTCCCTACAAACGCACCAACCAGGCCGATTTCATTTGAGTGAGAGTTTTTGAACTGTGAACAATACAACAGCACTGGTAAACTTTTAAGCTATGCTAGGAATGAATGCTTCTCATTTTTATGTATATGTTATTGCTACCGCCCCCGTTTTCACAAATTATACGCATTTTCACTAGCGAAACGAATCGAAAAACACATGTTAACGTTAATGCGCCTTTACAAAAATTAAATCGCTTTTTAGGTTGCCAACTTGTCACTACACACAGAGCAACAAGTTGACCAATCTGCCTCAAAAATCAAAAACTTTTGATTTTACCCCAACCTGACGAACAACTTGACGAAGATTTGCCAACTTGCCTACACACGGCATATTTACCACCAACTTCTAGCGGTTGGCCGATAAATCGATCCGTGTGTAGGGCCTTTTGCAAATGTGTCGTGTAAACAGTGTGATTCGCCGTTCGTAATTGAGAGGGCGACCAACGTGGTTCGGTTGTCGTGGAAACGCCGTTTATAAAAGAGCCAACAAAAGACGTTATGAAGAGTACAGATGCGCCATTTTTGTTGTAGGAGAACCAATATCTTGAATATCGTTCAAATGAAGCCATTGATATACCTACCGAGTTCTTTCTTGGAAGGATGTGGTCGAATTCTTTCTTGCTAATATTCGCCACTTTTACAATTTTGCTGGCCTTAAAGCTGTCTTTATATTTAAAGGTTGGATTAACAGTAAAGCTATGTCTAAAGTTAAGCTTATCTATTATCGGTTTATGACGTACGTATGTTTCTTGGTTGTAAACTAATTTAAAATGGATCATAAAATGCTTTACTTTAGACACAATCATAAATTGTAATGCAACCTTTAAATATAAAGTGAGCTTTAAAGTTACCGGTTACTTGAGAAAACGGCCCTAAGCTAGCGATATGTAAGTATTTTACATTACGAGTCCTTATTGTCCAATGGTGAGGAGACTTCCAACAAAGAGGGGGACAAATAAAATACCAAAAGCGTTTGATATGTTGTCAATGTGTTGTATTTGTGTCCTGTAGACGTTTATCCTTAATTTTATGTACAATTTCTAGTAAGCAGCTAGTAACTTAAATAATTAATAACAATAAAAAATGCACTCCTAATTCTTTAAATATGTACTAAACTATTTTTGTTCATGTATTATTGGCACACTATCTAAGTCTTATACAAGCAATTGGATTTTTTCCCCCTATAATTTAAGTAGTAGATAATTATTTATTCCATTTGAGTATTTTTCCTTAATCGTCTGGTTTTTTTTTTTGTTTAATGTCGAAGAATATACAAATTTAAGAGTATTTTACAATGGTTTAAAAATAAGCTTCCGATATTTGAAATACTCGTAATATACTCGTATAAATAATTATGTATGCTTTTGTTTTTGTTAGTAAGTTTGTTTACATAACTATTATTTAATTAATATATTTTTATAATTTTTGCAACTAGGAAGAATGTGAACCTTAAGATCATGCGTGCGTGTAAGCATGATTTATCATTCCCAGTCACCAATGAACACCTATGTACATACATACATACATACATACATACCCAAATTACTAGCTCCTTACAAATGATTTCAACTGCCATTTTTGTCATAAATAGGTGTGCTAATGTAGCAGGACTGGTCCACCCAAACACTAGCTAAATAATTAGGTTTAATACTAGTCTAAACTGAAATTTGTGCTAAAATTTAATGGTGACTAAAACAGCATACCCGGAAAGGAAACAGATAATCGGGGACTGGCCGAAAGCTATAGTTCCTGATGGATTTACGTTTGGTCGTTAACCGGTTAATATTTTACTGGCCCTGTACCTGGCTGTCCTGTGATCAGTATCCCAAGGTGCCGCTAGTATTCGCGTAAGAAACTTTAAGCTTCGCTCATCGAACAATCGAGCCAGATAGATCGCAATATTTTGCATTTGGTAGATCAGCCCACCTGCTGTTAGTAGAGCTACTCTGAACTTCTTTCTCCTCAACTTAAGAAGAGGAGATGGGATCTCATACCAAGGTAGTCGTTGCCGACTTGAATGCGGCGGGGTTTGAGTGATCAAGGTCCATTATGCATAGATCTCAGCCCGAAAAACATTGCAGTAATACATATAGAAAACTGTAAGCTAGGTACCGTTCTTAAGTCTATTTTGGTTTCATCTACGAAGATGGGAATCTCGTTGGTGCTTGAAGCGGTGTCAGATTCAAAGTCGCCTCTTGTTCACCCCCAATTCTGTATAAAATAGGCGGCATCAGTTCCGAGAAAATGCGAACAAAAATGTACGGAATTACTATATTTCAAATCATGGCTGTTTATGCAAAATATTTCAGTACAAGTTTTTAGCCGAAATTTTTTCACCTTCAATTCGGGATGGGTAATCGTCAACCTATGGGAGTAATACGTTGGATACATATACATGCATACATATGTACATACGCTATTTATTCCGAAAGGAAAAATATGGAGTGCATGCATATCGAATTTCTATGCATGTATGTATGTATGTACATACATATGTATATTTTATACACTGTTTATAAAATTGCACATTTTGTTTACATCTTTACGCTATAAAATGTTATGCAACTTATGCTTTTTGTATCGTTGGAACATAAGTAAATAGTTTTTTTTTGTTTTTTAATTGAGAGTTTTGATTTGCGCATTTCTCTAAGGAACTCATTGGTTTGTATACAGTTATGTAATATTGTGCTCGTGTACGCCACTAATACATATCATATTACAAGTTCATATGAGCCCATTATCCATGTAAATACTTATGTAGTATGTGATATAAATATATACATACAGTCAGTCAATAAAGTTTAGGTACAGCGAATTTTTTACAATACGGGCAACTATTTTTTAAATATTTTATTTTTCGCTAACTTTTATAAAAATATGGTTAATTCTACAGTTCAAAACCTTGTGCAAAATTAAATAAAATTCCGCAAAATTTCATTCAAATATTGCACTTTTTATTTACGCTCTCTAGAAAAAAGTTGAGTATGCAGTTCTTTAGTTCATTCAATTTTAGTGCAAGTATGAGGAAGCTAGGACTTACCATTGATTATTGGCAATTCTTTTTTGGTGAGAAGATGTCGCAAATTTTTTCCATATAAAAAAAATAACGAACATTAATTTATATGGAGAAAATGAGCAACACCTGCAGCAAAAAATTGCTAAAAATCAATGGTAAGTCCGAGCCACCTCAAAGTTGCACTTCGTCATGGGCGTAGCAGGTGGGGGCAGGGGGGTATTCGAGCCCCCCCTAACTTTCAAATTTTCATTATATATATGTATATAAAATAGTACCCTGAAATGCCAGCTTAATAGGGTCGAGGCCCCCCCTAAATTTCATTCTGGCTACGCCGGTGCACTTCGTTATACTAGAATTGAATGGGCTAAAAAACTGCGTACTCAGCTCTGTGCAATATTTGAATGAAATTTTGCGTAATTTTCTTTAATTTCCACAAGATTTGGAACTCTGGTTTTAAAATTGAATGGGCTAAAAAACTGCGTACTCAGCTCTTTTCTAAAGAGCGTAAAAAACTGCAATACTTGAATGAAATTTTGCGGAATTTTCTTTAATTTTCCACAAGATTTGGAACTCTGGTTTTAAAATTGAATGGGCTAAAAAACTGCGTACTCAGCTCTTTTCTAAAGAGCGTAAAAAACTGCAATACTTGAATGAAATTTTGCGGAATTTTCTTTAATTTTCCACAAGATTTAGAAGTCTGATTTTCGGGGATTTTGTTGTATAATTAACAATATTAAAAAAAAAAAATAGCGAGAAATAAATATGAATAATAAATAGTTGCCGGTATTGTAAAAAGTTCGCTGTTTCTAAACTTCATTGAGGGACTGTATGTATGTTTTTATGGATGCATATACATACAAATGTGTTTATCTTGTTAGACAAATCATGTTTGTGCATACATAAGTATGTATATATTCATTACTTTCCGGCCGAGCGCATGCAAAAGAGGAGCTACGGACCACCACCCAAAAAGTGTTTGCATCGTCGTATCGCATCATCGCTTTTAATTCCCTCTCCGGGCGTTGAAGAACATTCTTGCAACTTTGCCTAGTGCACCCACAATGTCCCAGCCTTCTTTCGGATGCAGCTGGGCTTGCTGTAAGGACTGTTCTTGGTGATGTCCACACTGCCGCTGCAAATCGCAGTCCGGTAGGCTGACCTATGACGGTGTCGAGTACCAGCCACTTGTTGGTGTACCCTTGTGGTACAAATGGAAGCTGGAATGCGGAGCAAAGTACTGTGGCTGATCCAGATTGCTGTAGGTGATGCTGGTGGGGTCGGCAGACGAGTGCGGATGGTGCATGGTGGCCGTCGCGGCTGAGTAGGGTTGAGGTTTGAGGGGAAGGGCGGGTGTGCTGCCGCTCTCGCCGGCATTGTTGGGTGTTGCATATTGAACGCGTAGTGGATCACTGTAGTCGTAACCGTTGCTGTTGTGTGAGGTCGCCTTGGTTGCATTTAAGTTGTTGGTGGTGTCCCGCGGAGATACTGAGCTGGGCGGGGTCATTGCGTTGTGGTAATCGATGGAGCTGTGATATCCGCCGTATGTCGATACCAGGTTCGTGAATGCATCGGACGATGACTTTTGCGGATGAGCGGGGTGAAGTTGCAGGTATTGGTGGTTGTCGTAAGAGGACTCACTGCCTGGGGGCGTGGGCAGCGGTCCGCTTTGCTGGTCTCCGTAGAATACACCCGTTGGTGTTTGTCTGGCGGTTGCTCTAATGACGCTTTCGCGGTTCGCGTACAGCTGCCTTAGTAGTGCGGTGGCTGGCATGGGGGCAGGCTGCTGATAGTGCGGTGTCCCAATCCATTGAATTGTGCTGCTTTTTTCGTGCTGTTGTTGTTGTTGCTTCAACAGTGCATCGGCGCTAAAATCGGTGGCAGCGGGTGTAGCCTCGCTGGCGTTCACTCCGGGTGAAGGCAGGTGTTTCGACATAGCATTTTCTAAATCTTTCACTGACGCCTCAGAATGTTGTTGCTGCTGCTGTTGCGATTGCTGCTGCGGCTGCAATTGCTGTTGCGAGAGCTGAACGTGCTGCTGCGGCTGCGACATCTGCTCGACCGTTGACGGCAGACGGCTGCGCGGTGCCTCCCGCTCCATTGCTGCTATTTTGGATTGCGGCTGTGAATCTGCCACCGGTGTACTAACCGCACTAGCTTCCGGGGTATCTTCCATTTGCATGGAAGCTTTGGATTTTCGTTTGCGTTTTGTTGTTGTATTGGGCGTACTCACTGGTGTAGCTACAGTTACCGGCAAGGAACTCGCCGTATTTTCCATTTCGACGTTTACAGAATTTGGACTATCTTTCACTAACGTTAAACTGTTGGCGCTGGTATTGGCCGCTGAGTTCGTACTGCGCCCACGGGGACGCTGGTGGTGCCCATCTCCATCAGCCTTGGGAGATGATGATTTTGTGTCTCCTCCCACTCCCGCTTGACCTTCGGGTGCGGCATCGCCACTTGGTGAACCCGAATTCTTATCAGTGCCAAGCTCCTCGTGCTTAATACAGTCCACACTGGGCTCCAACTGGCAGCAGTCCAATATGAGATTCTCATTCTCTCGATTACTGCAAAAAGAAATAGACATTTTTGAAATAGACAAGGCACGGTCTTACGAGATCTCACCTAATGACATAGTTCACGCATATAATGTTTTGTTCATCTGCGTTTTTCGTACTGCAAACAACTGTCGCGCAGGTCTGTAGCCAAGTGTAGCCGCCATTCTTATTCATCAGCCGAAAATAACCTGTAAGGACTTGGCCCTTCTCGATCACTGAAATACAATGAATTAAAATTGTGATTATTGAATTACGGTCCATTATTTGCTAAAGGTAATGTAGATAATAAATATCAGATATAAATAAATGTTAAGATATAAAAATAACAAGTGACACTCACGATCCATGTGGCTTTTTCTCAACCGGATAGCGTCCTCGGCGTGGCACAAGCTGTACATGCTCTTATTGACCAGATCCTCCGGAGAATAGTCCAGCAAGTCGGATACCCTTTATGGGAAATCGAAGTAGTTAAAAATAGTTGTCAATAATTTTCAAGAATATTTGTCAATTGTAAATTTACATAACTATCGACCTATCTCGGCAGTCATTCGGAAATGCCCTATCTCAGAAAATTTTCAAGAGCGCCCTATTTCAGAATTTGGTTGAAGTCCGCCCTGTTTCATACTTCTGTTCAACAACGCCCCTATCTCAACATATTTTCAAAATATATTTTCAGTTCAGATAGGGCGTTGTTCAACCAAATCTGAAGTAGGACGTTCTTGAAAAGTTTTCTGAGATAGGGCGCTTTCGAACCGGCTGCCGAGATAAGTCGATCTTCCACTCAGCCGTCGTTATGTACTTATGTATGTACAACAATGGTTCACCTACCTTGGTTCACAGTGCGCTATTCGTAAATCGAAATTGATCCGCGTAACAAACATGTCGCATTCCAGACGGATCTCGTGCACGGATGGCGGCGGCAAGGCTATAGCCAGCGCGACCATTCCCAACAAGGGCGGCTGCGATTTTCGTGTATGTGAGAACGTGTATTGCGGTCGCAGCTTGCACAACAACAAGACGACCTACAATAGAATAAATAAATGTACATACAAACATATATTCGTATTTATTAAATTTGAAGGCAATATCTAGATAATGGCATTTCCTTAAATAATTCGAATGTGGAAGTAACTTGTTTTTTAGAATTAAATATTACGGTACAAATGTATGTACATTTGTACTGTATACATACTAGAGGGCTGCATAAATGGTTTTGGAAAGGGCAATCAAAGCATTTGCTAATTTCGCTATATGTACTTCACTTCACTTTCTCAGAGCTTTCAAATGCTGTCAAATGCGGACTACTGCAAATAGTGAACAAAACGTTGCTTCAACAAAACTTGCTGTAATAAAACATCAAGCACTACTGCATTTACTGTCGAGTACAACTATAACATATACAGTAAGGCAGCTAGTGCTGTAAAATTATATGTATGCATTAGGGCTGTGCGATTATTCGATTACTCGAGCAAGTTGTTAATCAATTATTCGGTTAATCAATTACTCGAGTAATCAAGATTTTGATTACTCAAAACGATGATTAATCGAGTTACTTGAAATATGATTACTCAAAAAAAAAAATTTTGCTCGTAATAGAGTTTGCTTTGGAAAATGCTTATTTTTTTTTTACATTCTGTGTATCAAGGTACATTGAACAGGTAGTATCAGTAGAGCAGCTGATTTGATTTATTTTCAAAGTATCAAGGAACTTTAACTACTTTATACATATGTAAAGAGTTGAAATGTTGATTACTCATTTTACTCGAAATGTTGATTAATCATAAGGCATTTTACTCAAATATTTTTGTTTTTGGTTAATCAAAAATCTTGATTACTCGAGTAACTGAACTTTTGAGTAATCATAATTTCCAATTAATCGAATAATTAAGTCATTTACTTTATGATTAATTAAAATTTTGAGTAATCAATTAATCGCACAGCCCTAGTATGCATAATTGCAGTGTGTCTCTATTTTACCTAAACTTAGTAACAACAATGTATATATGTATTTATGTTTTTTATTAAAATAATATTTGATACTTGTATCATGGCTAAAATTGAACATTTAAACTGCTGCCGATTGCTGCACACCCAATTGTTTTATTCACTTCATTTATTGTCAAGTGCATTTGCTTCGTTACTGCATTTATTGAAGTGTGTAATGCTGTGTACAGCAAAAGTAAAACCATTTGCGCAGCCCTCTAACTTCAGTTGGCATGTTTAGTTCATTTAGGTGATCGGGAAGTCTAGATCGCATCACTGAACAACTCAACGAATCAAACACTTAATTTATGTTAAAAAATATTGAAAAAGTAAAAATTTGAAAAAGGTCTATATAGATTTGCATAGCAATTAGATGACCCTTATTCAGCGAAAAAAATTACAACTGTTGATAGTAGTGATTTAAAGATATTACTAAACATACGCGCCTTTTTCGTATGACACTTATATTGTGATAAATATTTAAATTATCTAATACTCTTAATTAAAATTGAATTTAAATATAAAATCAGGTGGCAACCCTCCTACATGCAGTTTAGAAATAAAATTTCTTCAAAGCAATTTTAATTTATATTCATATTGAAGTAGTTTATTTAACCTATTGCTAATATTGAATTTAGCTTTGTAAGAAGGTGGCAACCCTCTGCAAAATATTTTCAAACTACAACCTCTTTCGTCGGACATCCATATCAGAAAATACATTTCAATTTTCTGCCTTTATTTAATTCGAACTTGCTTGAAACAGGTGGCAACCCTCCTACATAACGGGTGATTTTTTTGAGGTTAGGATTTTCATGCATTA